ACCCTTCCTTCCCGTTTACCCCTCCCGCCTCTCGCGCTCACCGCTCGTTCCGCCCACTGCCGCCCGATCTGACCTGCGCTCCAACGCCGCAAGCTTGCCCAAAGCCTCCACGTTTTTCACTTCTTCGATCGCCATCTCGTACCAGCGCTCAGCTCGATTTGCGTCCGCACCCACGCCGTCCGCCCCGTCCCGCATCTTGTCCCCGAGACACACCACTCATTTTCTCTGCGTGCGTTCGTTGAGGTCCATCTCGAACCGCTCCACCGCATGCACCACCACCTTCCGTGCCAACCCTTCCGCGCCAACCCTTCCGCGCCGTCCCTCGTTGTCATCGCAGGATTGCATGTCGCTTTACCGCAATTGCCTTTCACTATCGCTTGTTCACACAGTGTCGCAGCCCGTACGGCGTTCGTCTCGACGCCCTCCTCGCTCAGTTCTGGGACGATTTCCGCGTCCTTAGACAGCAGACGCTTCCTAAACACCGCCCATTGTACCGCCGTTATACGCCTTGCTCATCATTGCCCTTATGTACAACCACATCGCGCGTGTCCTGTTACGCGGCACTCCTTCTGCGCCATTCCACAGCAGGTTCCCGAGACTGACCAACGCAGTGATGTCAGCGGCCTTGTCGATCGCCCTCTCCCACAACTCCTTCGCTCGTACCGCATTGCGCTCTACCCCTTCCGCGCCCCTAGATAGTAGGAGCCCGAGATGGAACATCGCATCGACATCATCAGCCCTGTCAATCGCCCCCTCCCACAACTCCATCGCGCGTACCGCGTTACGCTCCACTCCTTCCGCGCCCTTATTCAGAAGCATCCCGAGTTTGACCATCGCCTCGACGTGATCAGCCTTGTTGATCGCTCTTTCGTACAACTCCTTCGCTCGTGCCGCGTTTCGCTCCACCCCTTCCGCGCCATTTCTGAAAAGGACCCCGAGATTGTGCATCGCACCGACGTGATCAGCTTTGTCGATCGCCCTCTCTCACAACTCCCTCGCTCGTGCGGCGTTCCGCTCCACTCCTTCCGCGCCTTTAAACAACAGAACCCCAAGATTGTAAATCGCACCGACGTCATCAGCCTTCTCGATTGCCTTCTCCCACAATTCCCTCGCTCGAATCGCGTCACGCTCCACTCCTTCTGCGCCGTTGTGCAGTAGACCCCCGAGACTGACCATCGCACCGACGTGCTCAGCCTTGTCAATCGCCCTCTCCCACAACTCCCTCGCTCGTACCTCATTGCGCTCTACTCCTTCTGCGCCCGTAGACAGCAGAAGCCCGAGGACATACATCGCATCGACGTCATCAGCCTTGTCGATCACGCGTTCCCACAATTGTATCGCGCGTACCGCGTTCCTCCCCACTCCGTCTGCGCCCGTACACATCAGGAGCCCGAGAAGGTGCATCGCATTGGCATCATCAGCCTTCTGGATCGCCTTCTCCCACAACTCCTTCGCTCGTACCGCATTGCGCTCTACTCCTTCCGCGCCCATACACAACATATACCCGAGTTTAACCATCGCACCGACGTGCTCAGACTTGTCAATCGCCCTCTCCCACAACTCCTTCGCTCGTACCGCATTGCGCTCTACTCCTTCCGCGCCATTTTTGAGCAGGACCCCGAGGTTGACCATCGCAGTAACGTCATCAGCCTGGTCGATTGCCCGCTCGTATAGCTCCACTGCCCTGGCTGCATTGCGTTCAGCACCTTCTCCTTCATGGCGCATGGACGTACTAGGGTTGTACATTGCGGGTAAGACGTTGTGCTGTTTGTGATGACGCGAGTAATGGGGCTGGTCGCGCGCATGCGTAGGTCAGAGAGAGTGTTTGTGCGCGGAGTCTTCGGGGATAACGATGTCGATGGCGACCCGGTCGCCCCACCTTCCGTTAACCAGACCCTCACCTTGACCATAATCCTCCGCTTAGAGCATCCCCACCGGTGAGGCTAAAGTTGTAAAAAACGAATTTTTACAACTTTAATATTTTTACACCCCTCTTCACTACTCCCACCGTTTCGAAAAGATGCATTATTTTTTACATCGAGATAAATTCGGGTTGTAAAAATCGAGAATATAGCACCAAAATTTAGAACTATGCATATGAGGTGGCGAACGCTGATTGGTTCAAATTCCATTTTCCCGCGAAGTCAAAGTTGGTTGAAGGGGTCTTGAAGTTGAGCCTCTCTCTCCAGTGGAGAGGAGAGTCTCCACCAACACTCCTCCCCATCCTGTACATGTCTGCACTAAACGTAAGTTTGTCTGGCAGCCACCCTACGTCTTTCGAAGGGACAGCCGTCACTAGCAGCTGCGCACCTCGCTCTCGTTTTGGGTTGCGCTCGAGATTTGGCTTTTTCCCCGGATAAGAGCCTTTGTGTTTTGGGGGCTCGCTGTCGCTGTCCGAGGACAAAACATCCTCAACAATATCGAGAATGTCGTCCTCCACGAAGTCAGAGATGCCAATGGTACTCCGTGGAGGTTGTGAAGGCGTTTGCATCGGACTTCAGTGAGTAGGAGCATGCACTTCACAAGTAGGAGGGTGCGCGTTTTTGCCGGTGGGGTTGACCTGCAGGTCAATGCAGTGCTCGGCAAGGTCTTAAAAAAGCAAAGGTGTATAATAGCGAGAGGCCAATCAAGGCTCGCCAAGTTTCTAAAATATTTAGCACTTTACACTCGCCGGTGGGGATGCTCTTACTGTTTTAGTAATTATCAATTAAATCTACTGTAATTTCCCGAAGATCTGTTTCAGCCAACCGCTGCATCACAGCAGACACATTTCAGCAGAGAATTCAACAGCGGCCAATGTCACGTGTACACTTGGATCCGTGGCGCAGAGGCTTCAGCGTCAGGCTGCAGCGCCTGATCCCTGACGTTGCTCCTTCCTCCGCGGTCATCCCGCCTTGTTCCCTTTTGAAGACCCAGACCACCCCTGAGGCCAGCACGCTGTCGAGGGGGTCGCAGCTCTGACGAGAGTACATTGGACAAGCAGTCCCATGTTTTCATGTCCAAGTCTTGCGTTCCTCTTCAGCGTCGTCGCTCATCTGAGGCCAGCGTGCTGTCGAGTGGGGCCCAGCTCTGACGAGAACACATTGCACTAGTTGCACTAGCAGTCCCATGTCTTCATGTCCAAGCCTTGCATTCCTCTTCAGCCTCGTCGCTCATCGTACCTACCCATGGTGCCATTGCCAAAGCCATTACTCTTGAGGGCATAATAGCGATCAACGAGGTTTTCTACATGCCGAAACGGAACACTTGTGCAGCCGTCCGCGTGACACCAAGGATGCCATCCCCTCTCTCCTTCGCAGGCGTGCCCACGTCGCCGATGCCCGCGACGTCGGTGAACAAGTCACCCGCGCAGTCGTCCACCGCCTCCCCCCTTTCAGATTGCCGGACGCCATGCGTTGCCCCCGTCTGCCCCGTGCTGGGCTCAGCGCCGCCCGGTTGCGTCCTGCACCAGTCGCTCGAGAACATCCATCGCCCCACCCCCATCGCGCCCGTTCATCCCGGCTTGGAACAGCCTCGTTGCTCGCGCTGCATCCCGCGAAACCCCGCCCGCTCCGTCCCGCAGCAGGCAGGCCAGTTTAAGCATAGCGTCGCGGTTATGGCACTTCTCGATCGCACGCTCGTACAATTGCGCCGCACGAGCCGCGTTGGTCCGCACTCCCCCCGTGCCTTGTACTAGCATGTCGCCGAGATGCACCATGGCCTCGACGTAGTCATGCTCTTCAGTCGCGCGCTCAAGCAGCTTTGCAGCTCGCGCTGCATTCGGCCGCACCCAGTATCTGTCGTCCTGCAATAGGCGCGCCAGGGCGACCATAGCAAAGGCATCCTGGGCCTCGTCGATCGCGCGCTCGTACAATTCTATTGCGCGAACTACATTCTTCTCCACTCCTGCCGCGCCATGTGACAACAGCACGGCCAGCCCTTTCATCGCGCACACATCACTGTGCTCCAGGATCGCGCGCTCAAAGAGTTTCGCAGCTCGGACTTCATCCCGCAGAACGCCCTCCCTTCCAGTCATCATCACGAATGCGAGTTGGCACATAGCGTCGCCATGATGGCCTTCCCGGATCGCACGCTCGAACAATCCGACGGCCCGAACCACGTTTCTCTCCACTCCCTCCGCCCCATCGTCCAGCAGGAGTCCGAGATAGTACATGGCACTGACATCACCACTTCTGTCGATCGCGCGCTCGTACAACTCGACAGCCCGACCCACATTTCTCTCCACTCCCTCTGCGCCCTTCTCCAGCAGGACTCCAAGATCCACCATCGCATCAACATCGTCGTGCTCCTTAATCGCCTTCTCGTACAGCTCCACAGCCCGCGCTGAATTCTGTGTAACCTCGTCCCCTCCCTTGCTCAATATATATGCTAGGTTGGACATCGCGCTGCAATCATGAGATTTCTCGATCGCACGCTCGTACAACTCGACGGCCCGACTCACATTTCTCTCCACCCCCTCTGCACCCCTCTCCAGCAGGACTCCAAGACCCACCATCGCCTTAACATGATCGTGCTCCTTAATCGCGTCCTCGTACAGCTCCACAGCCCGCTCTGAATTCTGTGCCACCCCGTCCCCCCCGTTGCGCAACAAACCTGCTAGGTTGGACATCGCGTAGCAATCATGAGATTTCTCGATCGCACTTTCGTACAACTCGACAGCTCGACTCACATTTCTCTCCACCCCCTCTGCGCCCGTCTGCAGCAAGCAACCGAGATTCACCATGGCGTCGACATCGTCGTGCTCCTTAATTGCATCCTCGTACAGCTCCACAGCCCGCGCTGAATTTTGTGCCACCCCGTCCCCTCCCTCGCTCAATAAATCTGCTAGGTTGAACATCGCGTCGCAATCATGAGATTTTTCGATCGCACGCTCGTACAGCTCGACAGCCCGACCCAAATTTCTCTCCACTCCCTCTGCACCCTCCTCCAGCAGGACTCCAAGATTCGCCATCGCCCGAACATTTTCATGTTTGTCTATTGCGTTTTCATACAACTCCACAGCCCGGACTGCGTCCGTTTCCACTCCTTCTGCCCCCTTCACCAGCAGTTTTCCGAGTTTCACCATTGCGTCCGCATCATCGTATTGCCGCACCGCGCGTTCATACAGCCTCACAGCGCGCTGTGCATTGATGCTGACCCCTTCCGCGCCCTCTGTCAGTAGATTGCCGAGGCCCACCATTGCGCCGACATGACCGTGTTCCTCAATCGCTCCCTCGTACATCTTAACGGCTCGTGCGGCGTCCTTCTCAACTCCGTCGCCGCCGTCCCTCAGCATGTTGGCTCGCTTGAACATGGCCTCTCCATCACCATGTTGCTGAGGACCCGCTGGTTGATTCTGCTCGGCGGCGATAATGGAAGCTTCTTCCATACTCTGCGGCGCTTCTGCGGACAACTTGGACATGGCCTCAGTATACTCACAAACGGCACAGTCCCCGCTAGAACTTCACCACCTGCCCGTGCCAAGTACCGAGACAGGGGAGAGTGAAGAGAAGCGCAGAGTTTACCTTGACGCCGTGCATGCGCCCCTCGATGACACGTGTGTCATCTCTTGTAATTTAGCTTTACAAAAACTACTTACAGTAAGCCGACTTTTCCTGTTCAACGGCTTTTTTGCAGCCACTGCAAGGGAGTGCCCTTGCATCTCGCAGGACGCCATGCCATCACTCATACTTTGCATCTTCAGGGTGACCCCACCGCCAACAAAATTTCTGTCCTAAAATTCCAACCACTAAAGTTTGGACCGATGGACTAAAGTTCGGACCGATGGAAGAAATTTTGAACCCCACCGCGCCACCATTTGTCCTAAAGTTTAGAATTTGGGAAGGATTCTTTTCCAAACCAAAATTATTTGGTCGAGATTTTTGTCCAAAGCGCCGTTTGGGCGAGCTTCGTTCTATAGTAACGGTACAGAAAACATCTGAATTTCATGTGCTTACAGCTCTACCAAAGCTCTTCCAAATGGCTTTGGGGCTGTTTTGACTGAAGTCCCATCAATAGTGTGGGACGCAAAAAGGAGTGTTGTGCAGCCTTCGCTCGTGGACATTTCCCATCTTCTCCCTCCTTCTCGTCTTCTGAGAAGTGCAGGCAATGGCTGAGGTGGTTACTAGGACTGATGACTCGGCATTAAGAGTGAGGAAAAAGGGTAAGGGACTGGGGTGGTCAGACGAGGAGAATCTTGCCCTGTGCGTTGCTGAGAGCGCAGTGTCTGAGAACGCCGCGAATTGAAAGCGTGGTGTACTTGCCGAGTTGATAATTCCCAAACAGGAGCCTACATATTATGGAGAGCGGGCAAGTGACGAGCAAAAGTTGCCGCCAATTGTGGAACAGACGCGTGCAGTAGCTTGCTTCTTTGCGCCAAATGTATTTCTACGACATACTTGTAGCCTAATTGGGGTGACCCTGAATATGAATAGATGTATCGTGTTACAGGCGCGGTGGGGTTCATCTCTGAATCACCACCTCCCCCAAAGCGCGGCTTGATTAAAAGATAGTAGATCCAATTACCGGAGGACAACTGTCTGCTTTTTGCGATTTTGGGCAAGGCGCGGTGGGGTCACCCTCACTACAGAGTCTGTAGTGAAGATGCAAAGTAAATGCTTGATCTGTACTACAGACTCAAGTCTAATCAAGCATTTCTGTTATTAGTAGCTGCCGAGCCGTCGCATTGACTTCCTCCTTTTTCGCAGCCATAAATGCCAGCCTACACTTTTGCAGATGTCCAATTGCATCATCGATCCTGCCTTTTCCCGCCATAGTCTCTATTTTAGTAAGCAACTGCATAATATCTTTCCGCGGCGGCAGCGGCTCTCGGGCAGTACGTCCATCAAACTGCCTTGCCTATCTGGAGACCCTTCGTTTTTGGCTCAAAATTCGTGCCACCCGCAGAAGGGTAGCACTATATCGGAGCTGGCACTAGCAAAGATGGTACTATATCGTGACCCCCCCCTGTAATTACTAAAACGGTAAGCGAAGGATTATGGTCAAGGTGAGGGTCTGGTTAACATAAGGTGGGGCGGCCGGGTCGCCATCGACACCGTTATCCCCGCAGAAAGAGTAGAGCGTAATGCGGTACGAGCGAAGGAGTTGTGGGAGAGGGCGATCGACAAGGCCGCTGACATCCCCGCGTTGGTCAGTCTCGCGGACCTGCTGTGGAATAGCGCAGAAAGAGTGCCGCGTAACAGGACACGCGCGATGTGGTTATATTTAAGGGCAATGATGAACAAGGGGTATAACGGCGGTACAATGGGCGGTGTTTAGGAAGCGTCTGCTGTCTAAGGACGCGGAAATCCTCCCAGAACTGAGCGAGGAGGGCGTCGAGACGAACACCGTACGGGCTGCGACACTGTATGAACAAGCGATAGTGAACGGCAATTGCGGTAAAGCGACATGCAATCTTGCGAGGACAACGAGGGACGGCGCGGAAGGGTTGGTGCGGAAGGGTTTTGCGCGGAAGGGTTAGCACGGAAGGCGGTGGTGCATGCGGTGGAGCGGTTCGAGATGGACCTCAACGAACGCACGCAGAACAAATGAGTGGTGTGTCTCGGGGATAAGATGCGGGACGGGGCGGACGGCGTGGCTGCGGACGCCAATCGAGCCGAGCGCTGGTACGAGATGGCGATCGAAGAAGCCAAAAACGTGGAGGCTTTAGCCAAACTTGCGGCGTTGGAGCAGGTCAGATCGGGCGGCAGTGGGCGGAACGAGCGGTGAGCGCGAGAGGCGGGAGGGGTAAACGGGAAGGAAGGGTGGGGCGGGCGCAACGGGGGGGGGAAGGGGGGGGGGGGGGGGGGACCGCGGGGTGGGCGTTGGGGCGGGCGGTGTGGCTGTGGTCCCTTTCAATGAATGGTGTAAATCTCATTATCTTACAGTGCCTGGTTCGATATAGTGCCGTTTTCGGCCCCACTGACACAGCGTAGCACTATATCGCGACCCCCCCCTGTAACTGTATAGGCATCATCCCTTGTATCTGTTGGACGGAACAAGCAGTAGATTGGTGGCTGTGGAAGTGAGATGGGATAAAAGATCTCGAACCCTGCGTTGGAGGCTGTCGTAAATCAGCATTAAAGCAATATTGAGTGCATGGAGTAATGTAGGTATGATGTGTGTTTGCATTGCAGGAGCATACACTGCAATATACATGAGCTGAGCACTGCCGATTGCGGTTGTGGGCGCGAAATGCATCGTTCCCGACGAGAACTGAAGGCGTGGGGTATGTCTAGGCGTTGTCCACGCCGTATTCCTTGGTTATCCCTTGGATGGGACACAGCGGCGTGTAAGTGGATGTGGAATGAATGGCATGAAAAGATCTAGACTCTGCGTCAGAAGCAGCCGCTCGGTATGAAATGGGTGTTACCCATTTTCGTGGACGGTGTAGCGTGCAAGAAGTATGATGCGTGTTGCAGGAAAGTGTAGATGAGTTGTACGCGCCCGATTGGAGGAAGGCGAAGGAAGGCTTAAGAGGGGGAAGAAGTTGGTCGGTGTGGGGTAAATCAAATTGAGGAAGAGTGAGATAGCGGTGAAGATAGCGGTGAAGATAGGGGGTGAAGATAGCAGTGAAGATGTAAGGGTGCGAAATAATGAACTCATACGAATGCCTCATATGCGGTTGTGGCAAGGTGTGGCAAGGTGGAAGGGAGGTTTTGAGGATGGGTGGCGGAGAGAAGAGCAAGCCAAAGTTCGACGCAGGGTTGAACCTTTCCCGCAGAGCATATGCACCTTCTCAGCAATCAGGTGCGCTTTTGCCTTTTGTGCTCACGACCTGCTCCACTACCAGTCCGTGAGGTACAGAGGGCCCTACTCATAAGTGCCGCCCTGTGTAAGACCCCAACATTGGCACTATTGGGAGACGGCATTAATAGGTGACGTCGTCACATCTATTTTCATGCATTCGGTAATTAACGTCTGCCTACTCCGCGTTGGGTCTCTGTCGTGTTTTGCAGTGAGAAACGCGCACTTTGCGGACCTCAGATACGATAGAGCGTCTGAAACTTGACATTCGGTAGCCAAATCTTGCAGCTCTCCAAACAATTCCGCAATCTCAACGACTGAGGGGACAGTCCTTCGCTCTCTCGCGTCCTCTGCGCTCCCATCTTCATCACTTGATTGCGTTGTAGTTGTGTTCGTCACACCCTGAACTGACTCAAAAACGTCCATGGCATCATTAACAAACGCCTCTACCACATTTTCGTCGGACTCAATATATACCCACCGTTCCACATGAGAAATCCGAGCAGCTTAGCCTCTAGATTTGGGACTCATACGGCCTGACGGGTCTTCAATTGCAGTGATTTGGGCTTCTTGTTGGCTACGCGGAGTAATTTGGGAGCAGTTGCTCTGATGTTTCGCACGGTGCGCCCTGCGATGCCGAACTGCCGCTCATTGCTTCGGTACAGTGTCCCTTTTCGAGCAGATCTGCAATGTCTAGCTTCTACGCTATTGTTGGCGCTTGCGCGTTGCGTTTTTTATTTCCGGAACCGGATCCATAAGGAGGACAAGCTAAGGTCTGTGAACGCTGTTCGGCGAATGGAATGCCGCTTTCACATGTTTTCACGCGCGACGGACGAACGGCTACATAACACCTGGACCCGTGTGACACGTGGCACTTTTCGTGTTCGTACGTCTGGCCGGCATTAATGGGAGGGTGGCATTAGCAAATGTGGCACTAATGAGAGTCCCCCCCCTGTAGGAGCAAAATTTTAAGGAAATTTTAAATGCTACAGTACAGTGCCTCCTACGATATAGTGCTATAGCCTGACATACCTCTAGCTATGGTACTATTGGGGGGATGGCACTATATAAAGGAGGCTCAAATACATAAATTTGGGGACAAAGCACATGTGTTAGAGCATCTCCACCGCGCAGGCAAATTGTGGCCATTTCTAAAATATGGCGACTCACAGAAATAACAGAAATTTTGTTGGCGGTGGGGTCACCCTGACTAGGACTGGCCCTGAATCACCACCTCCCCCAAAGCGCGGCTTGATTAAAAGATAGTAGATCCAATTACCGGAGGACAACTGTCTGCTTTTTGCGATTTTGGGCAAGGCGCGGTGGGGTCACCCTCAGGCTTGAGTTTGGTCTCCACCGCGCAAATCTGCACACAAATCTGTTTCACAAATCGTATGATAAATAGGATTTGTGTCTTGACGGCACACATATTTTTTGATTTTGTGGTGCGTCACGTCACAAATCCCATTTTTTGGCAACACTCCTCTGCTTGAACGGGCTGATTTTTTGTTACTTTTAGACACCGAAACAGCAAGAACGCGGGAAGCCACGGGTACACCTGACCCGCCCAAAACGTCTGAGCATGCCAAATGCGCAGTGGACGGTCTATGCTCGCACTGCACATGCCCGCATCCACCCGCACGCAGACATTGTGCACGCGTTAACACTCATTTATTATGGGAGTCCGCGGGCGTGGATGGGGGCTAACTGAACTCGACCATCTGGCAAAGGCCTGGGTGGCGACGCGGCCGGGTACGCTTCGGGCGGCGAGGACAAGTCTGGGTGGAAGAGGTCAGCGCCGACGAACTGGACCTCGGCTTTGTGTCCTGCTGGTCGGGGTGGGGGGCGGCCTAGAAGTCGGGGCGCGGGAAGTCTGGGCGCGGATCGGGGGCGGGTTCGACGCAGTGCGCGGTGGAGACCGCGACGCGATTTGCGCAACGGCGATTTGTGGTACTTTCGCAAACGGAATGCGCAAAACGAATGCCCATGTGGGAGCCTGACAAGTGTCCAAATATAGAAACAATTTGCCCATGCGGTGGAGATGCTCTAACACAAACACAACAAAGCCTGTATAACACAACTACAGTAAATGACTTCATCCTTTGAGTACTGAACCATGCCGGATGATACACGTGTGAGCTTATGATAACCTGTGCCAGAGGGTGACCCATAGCACTATATAGAGGGAAGCACTACTAAAGTAGGCACTATTGAGCGACCCCCCCCTGTAGTGTGAAAATTGATTTTGGCGGCACGGAGGTGACCCAGACGGAGGGGTGGGGTATTTCGAGATCGCCGAAGTCTCTCGCCCACTTCAACCACTCCTGCTCGTTCTCTTGCGCCGCCCTAGTCATTTAATTGACGCAAACGCACTGAGGAAAACTTTCCCTTCCCAGCGATACTGTTCTGGGAGCGTGCTTCCGACTACTTCCCCTGCTGTCGGGGAGAGAAGGTGAAAGAAGCGAGTCGCTCTCCACGCCTCCGCCAGGTGCATCTTTGATTTTGTCGAACCAATGTGAGTTAGAGAATGTCCTTCAAGTCACACATTGCATCATCTTTGCCCTGTGGTTCTCCCCGCGCTGCAGGCCGTGCTGACAGGCCGGTCGACCGGGCTCGCGGTGGTGCTGGTTGCGCTGTGGTGGCCGTCGCGGTCGCGCGCGCTGCCGTTCTACTCCGACGCGACGCACTACGACCCGAAGCGGATCGTGCTGTGTCTGGGGGAGAACCTGACATATTTTGCGACGCGATAAAGCTCGGTTCTGGAAACACGCGTACCACGCGATGGTAGTGCCCACAGCTATTCCTGATCTCCCGCCAGGAGCATCTTCACATTACAACAGTAGCGCTTCCCACCGATACCTCCTCCGCAATCACCTGCTTCGATTGTGAGGCGTGCAAAGACGAGACGTGTTGTGTGCGATGCGTCAGCTAAGGAAAGGTGAGGGAATACAATAAAAGCTTGCCTCACGCTACCTTTTAGGCGTATGCCGTCAAGCTCGCAGCCAAATTGGATAAAAGTCGCCTGGCAAAATTCACACTAAAATTCGGCTCCTCACGGACAGCTACGGCATGCCCGCTCACGGATGTCACAGACATCGTCGCGCCGAGCGCGGATGGGCCTTCGGGCACGTTGTCGGCCGTCGTCGTCGAGCTCGACCTCAACAACGACGGGCTGATGCCGTTTTTCACGGTTTTGTACATGCACCCTTCCAAGGGTACGGTATGTGCGCAAATGAAGGAAGCACAGGGAGCTACGAGCAGAACGAGATTGACGAGACAGTAAAGTTTTACGCAAGCAAGTCGAGGATTGGCTGTCGAGGGGGGGCTGTCGAGAGGTGGCTGTCGACGGTTGGCTATCCTCCGCGGCTCTCGCTCTTGTCATAAAATTATATTCTTGCACACACCATCAAGTTGCGTCGCGGGTGTTGAGCGCAGGTTGTCGCCTGAAATTTGGCGAGAGCCAACAGTCCAATGAAAAGGCTCCATGGCCGCCGCCATCGCTCGATGGTTGGCTGATGATGATTTAGGGTGCGTACCATTGTAGATTTAATGATTAATCAGCGCGGCGGAGCGGCGCGCACCGGAGCCCTGTTCTGGTTGCCATAAAGTCGGGGTGACCGGGTCACTGTAGACCCGATCACCTGAAGAAACGACATACATTTTCCAGATATCCCTGGCTTGCCTTTTAGATGTCGATGCGATGGTGAGCCTCCGTAATTTGGTCGCAGAAGGCGCCGAAGGAGTTGAGGGTAACGTGGTGCGATCTATGGAGCTATATGAGCGCGCTATCGAGGAGGGTGACGACGTCGATGCAATGGTGAACCTCGGTAATTTGCTCGCAAGAGGTGCCGAAGGAGTAGATCGTGACGCAGTGCGATCTGTGGAGCTGTATAAGCACGCTATCGAGAAGGGTGAGGACGTCGATGCGATGATTCACCTCGATTTTTTGCTCGCAAAAGGTGCCGAAGGAGTAGAGCTTGACGCGGTGCGATCTATGGAGCTGCTTGAGCGCGCTATCGAGAAGGGTGAGGACGTCACTGCGATGTTTAACCTCGGTGTTTTGCTTGCAGAAGGTGGCGAAGGAATTGAGGGTAAGGCGGTGCGAGCTATAGAGCTGATGAGCGCGCTATCGAGGAGGGTGAGGACGTAAATGCAATGTATAACCTCGGTAATTTGCTGAAACAAAGAGCCGAAGGAGTAGAGCGTGACGCGGTGCGAGCTATGGAGCTATACGAGCGCGCTATCGAGAAGGGTGAGGACGCCGATGCGATGGTGAACCTCGGTAATTCGCTGAAACAAGGCGCCGAAGGAGTACAGAGTGATGGAGTACGAGCTGTGGCACTGTATGATCGTGCAATGGCGAAAGGAAATTCAGGTAATGCGACTTGCAATCTTGCGATGATGTTGAGGGACGGAGCGGAAGGGGTGGAGCGCAATGCGGTGCGTGTGGTGGAGCTGTTTGAGATGGACATGGGAACGGAAGCAGAGCAAGTCAATGGTGTGTCTTGGAGACATGATGCGGGACGGGGCGGACGGGGTGGCCTGCGATACGGATGGAGCGATACGGTTGTACGAGATGGCGGTCGAGGAAGACAAGAACGCGGAGGCGGTAGCCACGCTTGCGGCGTTGCGGCGAGACAGATCAGATGGCAGTACGCGGGACGAGGGGTGAGTGAGAACAGAGGAAGGCGGGATGGAAGGCGGGATGGAAGGCGGGATGGAAGGCGTGGGCAGTGGGGGAGGAAAGTGCCGCATGGATAGGCGGCGTAATGACATATTTTTAGTGTAAATGTTTGTGGTGTAATTATTATTTCAGTAGTGCATTCATCATCGCCGCGATGGCCTTCTTCTTCAGCTGGAGCAGGAGCGGGGAGAGGAAGATAGGGACAAAGGAGGACGGAGCGGGACGGCAGAGTTGCGGGCGAGTCTCCGACACCGGTGGCCAACGTCGACTCGGTGTTAATCGAAAACACTCGTCTATAGTTTTCTCTTAACTCGCTTTGTTTGTCTCGGGACCAGATTGACAGTGGACACGCTGAGCTTGCTACTGTACAGTTGTGGGAACCAGCTCAGGCATGCTGGTGTCGCGCGCAGTGTAGGAGCAGTTCTGTCCTTGGTGGCGAGTACGGAAGGCACAAAAGCCCGAGTATGCTACTCTCTGCACTGTATTTGCTCTTCACCTCTGCTCTCTCCCCCTGCTTCCTACCCTCCGGTGCTTCCGGTGTCTCTATCGCTCCATATACCTCACTATCTAGGAGAACAGCATGTCGCTCCTGCATTCAATTACCATTCTCGCTTACAATGGTCGACAATGCAATTGTCGGCTTTTCGCTACAGCTCGTAGACGTGAATTTAAACCCCATGCACGGGGATTGCTTTGCACCCTTTGGTCCTTTGCGCCCCTTGCCTCGATTAATCAATTCGTACCTCATGCATCCAACTACAACTATCCCATTCAATCCTGCCATGCTCTGTATGCTGCAAACCTGTACACGTTGCACAAATTGACACAACAGTACCGGCGCTGGACATACAAGTTGGTACCCCCCAAAGTTGAACGGAATAAAAAAATAAATGAGAAAACATCTTCTGCTTTACTTCTGGTCTCCATTGTAGTCTCATTTCAACCACAATCCTACCCAGTACACACTACTTGAGCCAATAGGCGTGCAGAAGATTCAACATGGCTGTCATATTTGAAAAGATATACCTGTTTGAAACCCCCATTTATGCAAAATTGCACCTGAGAATTGAACAGCCAAATGGTTGGCCAGTGCAAACAAAATGCAAAATTTTTTACTCAAGAATGTCTTTCCTGACACTGCACGCGCTGATCCGTCAACTCCATTTCGTTAACTGTCTTGTGCTGCGTTCCGTGCAGCAAATTCCCGTTTCGCAGCAATGAGTCTCCGCGCCGACTGCCGTCTCAATGGCATGCGACAAACAGAAACGTTCGGGACGCCGTACACAAGGGCTCGGGCATGCAGCGAACGCTTCTCGAATTCTAATCGAGCAATGTTTGTGCGTTCGTATGCTATTGCGTCCTTTTCGGCTTTTTCTGCCTCCTTCCGACTCCTTTCCGCCCGCTTCGCAGTATCAAAACCATCTCGCTCCCTCGCCTTTCTTAGCTATTGTAGCAGCTTTCCTGCGACTGGCGCCGTGCCTGTCGACCGCAGCGACGGCCTTTTCAAAGCGTCGGTCTGCCTTTGATACTGTTCGCGACCTTCCCATTCCTGCCAGTGTGTGGTTTTGGAGATGAGCTGGTGGCTCGAGTTTGCATTTATTTGCAATGCGCGGCGTCATGTAGGTTTTTATAGCATCGCCAAATCCGAATATGGCGACAAAAGGGTCCTGTTTGCATTTCGCGCGAAGCTACGCCGAGTTAAACATTTCAGGATTGCCATAAATCTGATCGTTTTTGGCATTATGTTAAATCTTGGATATAAAATTCACTTTTAGTTTTGTTCAACAACAGAGTACAGTGTTCAACTTTGGGGGGTACCAACTTGTAATTTAAATGGGAGATTCTGTGATTGGCGCTGCAAGCGATCGCCCTGGATCTACAGCTTTTAGCCAATTTAAATTTGGGGTATGGGTCGGCGCGCTGGAGATGCCGAGATGCGAGGGATGCGAGGCGGGTTCTCCGTGGTTGTAAATAAAGTTTTTTATCATTC